GTGTGCTCTTCCGATCTGTTTATTATGCAATAAAAATTATTTATTTAAATAATATTATCATAAGCTGTGGTTCAAGTTATTAGAGAAGTATTTGTGCAGATATGTGCAAAGGCTCAATTCAATTGGATGAATAGTTTTTGAGTTATCTTGCACGCCGCCAAACAGCATCACCGCCGAATAAATGTTATTATTACTTGCATAATAAATACTATATTCTGGCAAAAAAAAAAAATTTTTTGTTAGTTCAATAGTATAAGAAATAATAAGTTCCCTATAAAGTTCAAAAGGATTAGTTGTACAGTTTCCTAAAAAAAAATTGCAAAAGAATCATCTAATTTTTCAGCGTTTACACTAGGATCTCCAATTAAATTATCGCAGTTATTTGTTTATCAACTTTACATTTTTTTATAGATCCAGGATTTATACCTCCACCAGGTGTTCCACCATACGGTGAAACGCCACCGCCAGTTAATTCAGAATTCGGCGGAGTACATCCACTAGGTCAACCAGGCATGTACGTGCCCGGGTACGCGGAAGATCCTATGCACAATGAGGTCAAGGGATTTGAGTTCAGTAACAAAACTATCAGAAATGGCTTTATTAGGTAAAAATAATCAGACCCTAAAAATTTAATACACTTCGAAGTATGTGATGAACGTATATACAACTATATTATTTTTTTATTAGGAAAGTGTATAGTATCTTGATGTGTCAGTTGCTCATCACACTTGGGATGATCAGTCTGTTCCTTTATCATGAACCGTCACGGAAATGGATTATGAGACACACAGAAATGTTTTGGATTGCTTTTGTTATAACTATCGTTCTGATTATATGTATGTCTTGCTGTACCAATGTGAGACGTAAAGCTCCGATGAACTTTATCTTCTTGTTCTTATTTACATTTGCGGAGGCTTTCCTGCTGTCCATGGCTGCATCAACGTACAACTCTAAGGAAGTAAGTTGCTCGATAATGACTTTAATTTCGAAATATTATATAAACATGCGAGGAACGAAAAAAATCACGTTATTATTAAGTTATAACATGTAACGTATATCTATTTGACATAGAAACGCTTTTGCAGGTCATGCTGGCCGTTGCAATTACAGCCGTGGTTTGTCTAGGATTGACGATATTCGCATTTCAGACAAAAATCGATTTCACCGGATTGCACAGTGTCTTGTTCGTCGCTGTGCTCATTTTACTTATTTTCGGTATAATCGCAATATTCTGGCACGGAAAGATTATGACTATAGTTTACGCCGCGCTCGGTGCGCTAATATTCTCTCTATATCTGATTTTGGATACACAAATGATAATAGGCGGAAAACATCAATACTCTATCTCACCGGAAGAGTACATCTTTGCTGCGTTGAGTCTGTATCTGGATGTCATCAATATCTTCCTGTACATTTTAACTATTATTGGCGTTTCGCGCTAATTGATGTCAATTATATGATATTTTAACTTATGTTACAATTACTAAAGGATACACAGTCAGTTTTTATTTATCGCTGTCCTGCTTTCCATTATTGTCCTGAGAGCGAACTGTATTATAAACAATGAAGTTATGAAGATGCACACGGAGAGAATTTTTTTTTAAATTTACCCTGCAAATTATGTTAATTGTGATACAATATAGTATTAAGGCAAATTTTACAGTGCACTACAATAAATTTTACTATGCACAACAATAAGATTTTACAGTAAAATTGGCCTAAATATTATATTGTCCCACAATTAAC